GTCACTTCCTAGTGAAGACTCTTAGCAGCTTCCCCCTCTGCGTGTGTCCACAAACAGCAAGCAGTTTCGAGTACTGTGATCCTGAACTTTACATGAATGGCTCTGTAGTGAGAAGGTGCCTATCACCCACGGCCTGCAGAGGCTGTATGGCTTTGGGGAGGCTAGAGGCCCAACCATGGGCCTCCTTCCCCTGGTCTCTTCAGCAGCTTTTCCCAAACCCACTGAGACGGGTCAGGCTCCTAGAGAGCCTAAGAACAAAGCCCCTTTGTGACTTTTGTTTTGAATCAGGCTTGTGACAAAGGGGAGGAGCCACTGGGCTGGGTGGATGGGGGTGCCCGGAGCGTGTTGTTGTTGCAAGGGAAAAAAGCAAAATTGTGTCTTTTTTTTTTCTGGCGATGTTGTCTTGCCAATCCCTCCCTTCCCCAGCTCTCCGAACAGCAGGATTTCCCAACGGCAGCTTGGGAAAAAGACCCAGTGGCAGCTTGGGGAAAAGACCCAGCGCTCCATTTAGAAGCAACGTGTATCAGCCAACTGAGATGGCCGTCGTGCTCAACGGTGGGACTGTAAGTATAAAGGTGTGATGGGTGGGTAGGAAGCCTAGGAGTCTACGGTGTGGGGGAGCAGCTTCAACAGGGACAGACTCCTCCGTGGAGGCTGCTCGTGTGGCCTGCAAAGACCGCAGCTCAAATGCATGCAATGCTTTTATTTTTCTTCTTTCCCTTTCTACCCCTTTTCTCCATGCACGGAATATCTGCCTCTATTTAGAAAACCATCTGTAGATTCATTTGAAAGAGTTTGTATTCCTTGAGGCTCTTGCACACAGTGCCCCAGCTTTGTCCCTGGGAGGTGACTTTTGGGAAAAGCCCAGAAGGATGAAGCCCCCCCAGCAGATTTTACTGACATCCAACCTAGGTTAAGGCCCCCGGCCGCCCCTCTGTGGATCCCCCAAGCTGGGTCCCAGGTTCTCCCATTCCCTAAGAGACGTCCTAGGAAATTGAAGCAGCGATTATTTCTCTCCCTCAAACACCAGAAGCAGGTTTACTACTATCTGATGCCAAACAGACCTTCAGCAGAATTGTCATTATTTACATTTGCCTCTGTGGAATGACATTATTTTGTTTCTCCAGCAATCCAAAGATGCACTCTCATCCCCACATTTAATTTCCAAACATAGCTACATGCTTCCTTCAGAAACAAGGCCTGAGCCAGTTTACATGTGTAAATTGGATTTCCATTCTTTATATCATGTTCCAACTCCATAATTCAACCTGAGCATTCTTTTTTTCTTTTTTTTTATTGATGTCAATCAGGGATGGTCTTTGATCTCCAGAGGGAATGTAGGTTTTCCTGGCCTTTTGAATGGTATGCTAGGCATTGGTTTGGAACAGACTCAAAGACAGAATCACAGATTTGCATTCTTAAAACCCCCTGCCATCCACTGGGCTGTTTTATTGTCCAGTGCCAAGAAAAGCCTGACTCACAAGCATTCGGCCTGTGTGTTATAATAAATATGGTTACAAAAGCCCCCTCGTGTCACTCTTAAGCCCTCCTAGTTCCTTCAAGGCCAGCATGTGAAAAAATAGTCAAGACAGAAAGTAAATGAGTTGAACTTACGTTCCTTAGGGGTGGGTGATTATTATAGAAAAGGGAGCTGAGCTTCCCAAGAACCGCAGCAGCTTGACACACAGCCATTGCTGCCTTTCCTGGGAATTACTCGGCCTGTCTAGGTAAAAGCAAGGTAACTTATTTTTGCTGCATTGTTTACGCATTGGTTTCTAATGTTGACTTTGCAAAGCACAGAGTTCTCAGTGTGTTATCCTTATGTTATTCCAGATCCCAACTGCTCCGCCAAGTCACACAGGAAGACACCTTTGGTGAAAGACTTTAAGTTCCAGAGAATCAGAATCTCTCTTACCGATTTCCCTCCCTGGCTGTGTCTTTCTTGAGGGAGAAATCGGTAACAGTAGCCGAACCAGGCCGCCTCACAGCCAGGAAATTTGGAAATCCTAGCCAAGGGGATTTCGTGTAAATGTGAACACTGACGAACTGAAAAGCTAACACCGACTGCCCTCCCCTCCCCGGCCACACACACAGACACGTAATACCAGAGCAACCTCAATCCCCGCAAACTAAAGCCAAGCTAATTGCAAATAGTATTAGGCTCACTCGAAAATGTGGCTGGGAAGACTCTTTCATCCTTTGGGGGTAGAACAGAACCAAATTCACCGCTGGTGGGTCAGGCTGGTGTTGGTTGGAGGTAGGGGGTCCCCACCCTACCACCCCTCCCCAGCAAGGGCTGGACCCCGGGTGGCCTCTTGGAGATGACCATTGTGTTGAGGAGGACAAATGGGGACTTTTCCAATGGCTTGCCTGGTGGTTTGCACATTTCAGGGGGGTCATGAGACTTAAGGAGGTCGTGAGTGGGATTCCAAGGCAAGGCCCAACTGAATCGTGGTGTAAGCTTTATAGCCAGTGGAGGTGGAGGGACCCTGGCATGTGCCAAAGAAGAGGCCCTCTGGGTGATGAAGTGACCATCACATTTGGAAAGTGATCAACCACTGTTCCTTCTATGGGGCTCTTGCTCTAGCGTCTATGGCGAGAACACAGGCCCCGCCCCCTTCCCTTGTAGAGCCATAGAAATATTCTGGCTTGGGGCAGCAGTCTCTTCCCTTGATCGACTCGCCGAGGACCTGCACTTACAGGTGTTTCTCTAAACCCTTTCCCAATTTTGTTCCCTTGTTCATTTCAAGAGCTCCAATGGGATCCCCAGGTTAAAGCCCCTCCAGGAGGCAGATTGGAAGGCAGGCATCACGGCAGGTTTTCCGAGATAATGTCACCCAGCGGAGCTTCGGGGGTACCCGCTAGGATGCAGAGGTGACATCCCGCTGCCCTGCAAGCAGTGACACCTTGGGTCCTTTCCGTGGATGTGGTGAAGGTTCCTGGGTGGAATGGATCACATGAGGGTTTCCTGTTGCTTTTGGAGGGTGTTGGGGGATATTCGGTCTTGGTTCTTCTGCAGGTTCCATGAAAACGGCCCTTTTCCAAGCTCATTGTTTCTGTCATGGTTTCCATCTCTCCTGAGCAAGTCATTCCTTTGTTATTTGGCATTTTAAACATCTCGGCCATTCGAAGCCCCACGTTCTCTGCTCTGTTTGGCCAGCATAACCTCCAGCATCGATTCAAAGCAAAGAGTTTTAACCTGAGGGCATGGAATGTATAAATGAGGGAGGGTCCTTCTGCAGATACACTAATCACTACATTGCTTTTTCTATAAAACTACCCATAAGCCTTTAACCTTTAAAGAAAATGAAAAAAAGGGGGCTGGGGGAGGACTGACCTCTTCATAAGCCAGTACGTCTGAGCTGAGTATGTTTTAATAAACCTTTTGATATTTCTCGAGGCCCTAGTCTCTGCTGTCACCCCTCCCCACCCCATCCTTGCAAAGCGCTGGGGAAAATAAGGCCAATCTGGCCCTTCCTGTGTGGCCCTCCTTCGAGTTTCCCTTAACAGCTAGTGCATTTCCTTGTGTTACACGCATGGGGAAGAAAACGCATGGTCCCAGAATGCCGCCCCCATCTGCCCGCCCCGGAAGCACCCTGCCTCTGCCCAGAGCATGCGCTTGCTTCTAGAGAATCCCGTTCCAGTCATTTCGTGGACTGAAAACGTGAGTCCTGGGGAAGGGTGGGAGGGAACGAAGCTAGGTCCTGGGGTGGGGGTAGTTGCATGCAGACCCCGTATTCTGAGAAAGAAAGAAATCTTTAAACACCTCAGTCCTGTCCGGTGAAAAACGACAGCCTTACACATTCTCGTGCCAGGAAATGGTTACTCACCCCCGCTCTCTGGAGTCCTTTGGAGCTTTCTGATACCATTCACACCATGGAGCAATTCACACCATCGTTTTCTGTCTAAGTTCTTTATTGTCCAAGCATATAAAGTGAGCACAGCACAAATGGCTGCGATGGAAAGTCAGGCTTCCCCTACGTAAGAACAGAGCCATCTTTGAGCCATGGGAAACCTCACTTAATGAGACCTTCTCCCGCCCCTTTTAAATCCGATACCTTATTGCACTTAGGGTTTTGTTTTATTTTGGCTTTTAAGGTTGAGCGTGGGCTGAACGCCTTCACAATGGGGGCGGAGGCGGGACTGAGGGGAGAAGGGAATGAGCTGTTCTTTTTCTAATGACTTCACCTGAAAACTACCAAGAGGCATCTTATTTGCCAAGAGACTGTAGCAGCCAGCTGCCCCCAATGGAGCAAGGTTTAAAGACAAAATTAAATGGCACCTCTGTTTAAGATCCGTTTGTGTAAACAAGACTTGTTTGGGGAAAACGGCCTGGGAGGAGAGCATCTGTGGTCAAAATCTCTCATTGTAAGCACAAATCGTTTCGTGTCTGCTTCCTAAAATCGCTTTGGGACTATAACAGCCACTCTTGTCCCCCCTTTTAATAGAAAATTGGCGTTCTATCCTGGATTTCTCTCCACTGGAAATGGAGGGCGGGAAGAGAGGGGAGTCAGCTCTGACAGCTCACATATTGGGAAGGTCTGTGCATCTCAAGGGTTTTGAGTGGAAGGTCTGGTTGTTGGAAGCTGGGCGCCCTGTGCGTTTTTTTTTTCTTCCCAGAGGCCGTCAGGCCCACTGAACGAGGGTGAAGGGGGGTGGTGTCTTGGTTGGCCAAGGCTGAGTTGAACGTCTCAGGCCAAACCCCAAACTGAAAGGGAGCATTGTGGCTTTTATAATCCAGTGATGCAATGATGATACCAGCTTACAGGAGTTCTCAGCAGGTGCTTTTTATTAATTGACGAAGAGCTAAGGCTCGTTTTTGATAGATAATATATATTTATTAAATGCATTAATGTGTGTTTTATAATGTACCTTTATCGTCTCCCCGGCTGACGGTTGCATACTTATTAAAAAAAAAAAAAGAGTTAAAGATATTTCGAGACAATCAATATGTACCACAAATGGCTATATAAATATTACAGATTTAAAAGGTTGTAAAGCATGGGCAGATAGGTTTTATTTTCAGAATGCTGTTCTTAACACGAAAATAAAGGCTTTACTATTTACTTAAGACGTGTAGAAGCTTCTCAAAACAACTCAATGCAACTAACTACTGGGCTTTTGGATCTGCCCTGAGGCTCACAGTCTGTGGCATTTTAAATGGGAGAATCTTGGTTAACAGAAAACCACAGAACAAATTAGGGTAATAAGTTTATTTACCCATAAAAGCAGGAACTTTCTATATAATACTTTGGGACTTAAGACAAAAATTTTTCGTTTCATTTCTGTGGGTTTAAATGTCTCATCTTGTTGGGTTTGCAATAAAATTTCAGGGCGAGTCTCCTTTGAAAATGATCATAAGTATAAGGTCTTTTTTATAAAAAGATAGTCACCAGGTGAACTTAAAACCCAATTCAGAGGTTGGGGACTTAAATTAGAATATGGATCTTTGCAAAGGCACCAAAAGTGAGAAAACTCATAATAAGAGCACTTCTGTATCCCTTGGAACTAGAGTTCATTGTACATTTTAACAGCAGCTGGTGTAGAAGGATACCTCTGAGGCACTGAAGAGATATGTGGAGGGATGAATAAAATGTGGGGATAATGCAGAAAGTGAAGACTGGTCCTTCCTTTTCTAAACTATTTGCACTAAAGCATGTTTGCAACAAATACTACCTTGTACAGAAAAGATTCCAGGTTTACATGTTCCAAGTCTTGTTAAAGAAATCACAAGAGAGAAAGCATAATGTAGACATTTTCCTTGCACGAGGTAACTTGTGCTCGGATGGGCAAAGATACATCTTAACTGTGGTTAAGATTATGGAATTTTCATTTTGGCTGCAGGTACCGCATCATCCTCCATTTTGCATTTCACTGCAGAGAAAAGAAAGGGGAAGTCAGGATCAGTTTACATACGCAGACAGGCTTGTCACTGGGAAACCAGAAACGTTGATGTATGGACAAGGTCAGTTGCACCAAAACCCACTGTGCGCCTGCTATTCATGGTTCCGGCACCATGGCTCCGGAACAGGGAAGAACACAGCCCCATTGTGCTCTAAGGCCAGCACCTGAAGGTTCCAAACCACTTCCCAGACTGTTCCTGGCCATTCTTAATTCAGTTCAGAAAGAGGTCAGAAGTGTGCTTTGCCGGTCGGGGTACTGAAGGAAGGCAGTTTTACTAAAGATGATGACAGATTCCAGACTCTCCACTCATCCCCATCTGTCACCACACACCCTGTTCTCCAGCCACCCAAAAGGGAAATCTCAGGGTATCACTAGGGTCAATGAAAAGGTCAGAAGAAAATCTTTGCTCTTTTGTCATGGTCTGGACCAAGAACCTGATCTCGGAGATTTCCTGTGTCTGCCAAACAGGAAAGTTAGCTCCATACAGAGCATGGCTCTGTTTGTAAGGGAAATTAATCCCAACAGATAAAAGCCTCTCCCCAAATAACTATGGAAACCCAGTCCTTTGGTGGGTGCATGGGGCAGAGGGATCCTTTTGGAAAGACCCTCTCTTTTAAGACATCCTTGCCTGTCGTGTCCAAGTGCTTGCCCATATGGGAATGTCTTCAAAGGTTGTTTGAACCAGGCCACAGGCTCTGATGATTTGTGGAGAGCATCGTTCTGGTAAAAAGGGTGTTTGAGCTTGTTACCATGTAGGGCTAAGGTTTCAATTGAACCTGCCCCCGTCCTCACCTCTCAGCAACTATGGGCATGCACCAGCCAGATGTGGGTATGTACATCGTCTCATGAAATGCATTCTTTTGTTGTTGTTTTTTGGGACAGTGTCTCTCAGTTATCCAGCCTGGATTGCAGTGACAAGATCTCAGCTCACTGCAGCCTCAGCCTCCCGAGTAGCTACAGGCATGCACCACCATGTCCTGCTAATTTTTGTGTTGTTAGTAGAGACAGGGTTTTGCCATGTTGCCCAGGCTGGTCTTGAACTCCTAGCCTCAAGTGATCCGCCCACCTCAGCCGTCCACAGTGCTGGGGTTATATATAGGCATGAGCCACTGTGCCTGGCCCTTGTGGTTATTTTCTGATGGAGGTGGGATGACTGCCTTCAGCAACACAGACCAGCCCCGCAGTCTTCAAACTGAGAACAAGGGTTCTTGGTCATGGTTCATTCAGAGGAAATCAGTTTCCAGGTCTTCAACTTCCCATCCTCCTTTCCTTCCTGGCCCAGTGTGTAAAAACTCCCCAAGTGCCTAACAAGAAGGCTGTTCAAAATGAGGCCTCCAGAGTCTCCTTTATTCTCTATGTTTGACAACTATCAAATTGTATCATGTATTTATTTGGTTTTGTGTGCTAGTAATAATCGTATTAACACAAATCAGAAGAAATATTTTTAATATTTGGAGCCTGTGGACTCAGGACATTTTAAAACATTTTTTTCAATGTATATACCTTTTTTGTTCCATATATATGGAAGCTCTATGGGCAACCACAGTGAAGACCATATGTGCGTCTAGACCCTATTAATGATGACACTGACCCTTCATAGTCAAGGATGCACCACACCTCCCTAAAGACTCTCCCACTATCTCACTGATCCCTGAGATGCTGGTGATTAACAACTCAACAGGGATTGGGGGAGAGTGCTGAGTTGTAGCATTTGCCATTTCCGTAGCCTATTGGAAGCCAGCAGCCTGATGACGTCACAGAGTCGGGAAGAGGTGTGCACAGTCGGATGGAGCTGGGCTGCCCTGAATCCTCAGATTGACTTGTGCAGCATCAGGCATAACTTCAGACCTGCAGGCCGGCTCTCTGGGGACAAGTTGGGGACATATGCAATAGGGGGAAATTGTTAAAAATGCAAATTCAGGGCCCATTTCCAGGCAGACTAAACCAGACACATGGATGGGAGGGTGGGGTGGGGGGTGGAGCCCACCATCTGCATTTTAACAGGGCGTCCCGGTGATTCTGATGGATGCTAGTTAAAATTTGAGACCCACTGACTACTGGTTTTCTACCCTGGCTGCATGTAAGAATCACATGGTCAGCTTCTGAAATTTTATTGGTGCCTGGGTTTCATCCCAGCAATTCTGATGTAATTACCCTGGGGCCCAGGCATCAGAAGCTAGGTAAAGCTCCCGTGTGTCGCTAAGGTGCAGTCAGGGTTAAGACACAGACGGGGTTAGAATCCATTTAAAGAAATGTGATTGTAAGATCCTCAGAGGAGTCTAGAATTACCCTCAACTTCTTAGCATCATGCAGGCTGGAAATAAACTGTGAGTATCACAGTTTAAACTGCTAGAGAGATAGCTGGCAGTCAGTCCAGGCGCGGTGGCTCATGTCTGTTATCCCAGCACTTTGGGAGGTGGAGGCAGGTGGATCACTTGAGGTCAGGAGTTCATGACCAGCCTTGCTAATATGGTGAAACCCTGTCTCTACTAAAAATACAAAAATTAGAAAAATTAGATGGATGTGGTGGCAGCTGCCTGTAATCCCAGCTACTTGGGAGCCTGAGGCAGGAAAATCCCTTGAAGGGAGGCAGAGGTTGCAGTGAGCCAAGATCGCACCACTGCACTCCAGGCTGGGTGACAGAGCAAGACTGTCTTGGAAAAAAATAGATAAAAAGAAAGCTGGCAGACAGACAGATGCTGGAGGCAATTAGTAGCTGGAGGGAAGGGCTGGCTTCTGGGAGGAATCCCCAGACCTGGAGTTTTCTTTAGTTTTCTTGAACTGCCTGAAGGAAGAGTTCACCTGCAAGCTGTTGCCCTCATATTTTACCCAATTTCTGTCCATGCCTTGACAATCTTCTTGCCTACTCCCTACCAGCTGACCTTATCTGGGAAAAGGCCCCTTAGTATCTCTTTAGATCACCACTCAGAAATCTTGAGAGAGGAGAGCAGAAAGGAATAAGGTAGAGACCTTGTTGACAGTGGAGGGTTAAGAGATGGGGTACCTCGAGTCGACAGGCTGGAAATAAAGGTGGGCTGTGGAGCCTCCCAGTGGAATTACCTGGGGAGTTTTGAACACCCTACACAATTAGGTCACCATCTCTGGAAGCACAACCACATTGGAAAACTGCTTGGCAATACCAAGTGAAACTGAGCCTGACAGTGAATACAGACAATTCCACTCCTTTATCCCACTGAAGAAACCCTTCTATACGTGTACTGGGAGGATGCTCGTGATAGCAAAAACCTGGAAACAACGCAAATGTCCTTCAACAGTTGACTGGATAAACCGATTGTGGTCTACTTGACCAGTGATTACACAACAGTGAGCATGAGTGAGCCACAGCCACACACATCAACTTGGATTAGCTTAAAAACATTAAAGGAGAGAAGAGAGGCATGGAGTAATACATACAGTGTGATTCTATTTACAGCAAATCTAAACACTGAGAGATGCGTACAAAGGTGAGAAGAGCTCCAAAGAAAAGCAAGAGAACAGCTGTCACAGAAGTCAGGGGAAGTGGCTTCATGGGGGAAGAGCTTTAAAAGTGTTGACAGTGTTCTGTTTGTTTGTTAAATGTTTAGAGACGGTCTCACTCAGTTGCCCAGGCTGGAGTGCAGTGGTGCGATCATAGTTCCCTGCAGCCTCTGACTCCTGGGCTCAAGCAATCTTCCACAAGTGTTTTATTTATTGTTATATGTGTTTTATAGTCACTGTTAATACATATATTTCACCCCAAAAATGGTAAAAAAAAAAAAAAAAAAAGATATGTGCCTATATTTCTTGAAATTGCAAAGCCAACCAATAAAGGAATGGAAAATAACTATGTTGCTGTTTTGGGGAGGGAGGGATGGAATCTAAGCTAACCCCCATCAATAATGGCAGGAAATCAGTAGATCCTATTGAAAATCTTATTACCGTACAAGCCTGTTCCAGATACAGAAGTAATGCCCTGAGGAGCAGCAGAAATTCCAAGTCATTGTGTCTGGTGAAGCACTACTTTGCTAAAAATTAAGCAACAGATAAAATGTCTACTTGGTGGTCTTCCTCCTCCTGGCTTGGCAGAATACAGCCTTGCACAGGTGGATACTTGATCAGCGGAGGAAGGGAAAGGGGAGGGAAGCAGGGCTGAGAGAGGCAGGAGGGAAGAAGCAAGCCAGGATGCTGCAGGAGTGCAGCTTGCACCTTAGCTCGGAGACATCATTGTGCTTGGCTTCCAATACCAATAGACAGATGCCTCGGTGCCCCTCCACTGTCCTTGTCCCTCTCAGCAGGCTGGTACCCAGCCAGTTCCAGAAGGGCTGGAAGAGTGGAAAATCCCGGAGAGAGATACGCCAGCCCTTCAGCTTCAATTAAAGGCAATGTGACAAGAAGGGCCTTGCATGCTAATGAGACTTGGTACATCTTCTCCTCCTCGTGGTCGCCCGTATCTTCTCCCGTTCCTGTGAGTAACAGGACTGAGAACTCAATTCACAGCCCAGAGAAAAACCTCCCAGCCAGCAGCACAGGACAGATGAAGATGCTTAAAGCTCAAGACAGGAAATGTGGGGACCACAAGGTCATCCAGCCACTCACTACGTTGTCCAGACAGGGCTTCAGCAGAAAAGGATGGCCTGGGGTGAAAATACAGATTCCTGGGCCCCACCCCAGACCGAGTGAGGCCTGGGAATCAGTAACCCCCTCCACCTCGGTGCTGTGGGTGGGCGTTTTGATCTGGCAAGTGTGGGAAAGAAGGCTGATTTGGGCAAGTGTGGGAAACTGCCTGTTTCCCAAGGGCCTTAGTCAACTGTGAGCCAGGGTTGAGAATGGCATCTGCCTCCTAAGGGCACTGAGAGAAGCAAAAGAGGCAAGCCACGCAAAATGCAAAGTGCTCAGCACTGGTTCTGACCCACAGTTAGGGACTTGATAAATATCAGCTATTATTAGTCTCATTTTTATTGAGGCCAAGTCTCGCTTTGTTATCCAGGCTG